TTAAATCAGTTAGACAGTACAATCACTACTTGAATAACCGTGGTATATTCTAGGGCTAAGTACATACTAAAAGTCTCAACTCCTGGAAAGAATTTATTTGTTAGATAAAAACCAATAACCTTCGGGTTTCACTTGGGGATTCATGAATCATATGGTCTTGCGCCAACGATGAATCATTCAAATTTCTGCTCTATCAACTTTCAATTGGTGGGATAGAGCCTACCATTGTATTAACTGGTAACGTGGATTTGGGGTTCGATTCCGGAGAGGAGCCTGAGAAACGGCTACCACATCCAAGGAAGGCAGCAGGCGCGCAAACCAATACGGGGAGGTAGTGAGAATAAATAACAATACGGGGCTCTTTTGGGTTTTGTAATTGGAATGAGTACAATTTAAATCCCTTAACGAGGAACAATTGGGAGGAAGTCTGGTGCCAACAGCTGCGGTAATTCTAGTTCCAATAGCGTATATTAAAGTTGTTGCAATTAAAAAACTCATAGCTGAAATTTGGGTTCTACCGTTGGTCGGCTATTTTCTGTACTGGCGTGTGGAATTTCTAGACCACGTGTTATTAATTTAACGTGGTAGAAAATCAGGACCTTACCTTGAAACAATTAAAGTGTCCAAAACAGGCTTATGTTTGAATATATTAGCATGGAATAATAAATAGGATAGTGGTCCAGTGCCTGCGACTTAATTTGTCTCAACACGAGGAAACTCACCAGGTTCGAGTATAGTAAGGATTGACAGATTGAGAGCTCTTTCTTGATTCCATGGGTGATGGTGCATGACCGTTCTTAGTTGGTGGGATGATTTGTCTAGTCAATTCCGATAATGAACGAGACCTTAACCTGCTAAATAATTTAGATTATTCTTTTAATGGTCGACGACTTCTTAGAGGGAATATCGGAGTTTAGCCGACGGAGGTTTGAGGCAATAACGGATCTGCGATGCCCTTAGATGTTCTGGACCGCGCGCGCTATCCTGGTGAAGTTATCGAATACATATTCCTTGTGATGGAGATAGAGCATTACAATTATTGCTTTTCAACGAGGAATCTCTAGTAAGCATGAATTATCAGCTCACATTGATTACGTTCCCGCCCTTTGTGCGCACCCGTCGCTACTACCGATTGAAGGGCTTAGTGAGACCCTCTTATCAACAGATGGAAACCTTCACGAATACTGTCTGTTGAAAAGTTGGTCAAACTTTGGTCATTTAGAGGAAGTAAAAGTCGTAACAAGGTTTCCGTAGGTGAATTTGCGGAAGGATTATTAGAAAATGAGGCATTCGTACCTCTTGTATTTAAAACCTTAATATATAAATCTATAATTTTATATAAAATTAAAACCTTTCAACGATGGATCTTTGGATAAAGAACGCCGCGAAATGCGATAAGTAATGTGAATTGCAGAATTTCGTGAATCTTCTATTTCGAGGAGTACATCCGCTTGAGGGTCAGTTAAAAAAATCGTATATATCTGGCAGTATTGACAAGGTTACTATGTCCAAAGTCAATTTGGCATATGTCCAAAACAATTGGATATCAAGTTTGTCAACTGGGTTATCCGATTCTAAAATTAAAATTTATGTAGTGTTAACCACTTGCTACACTTTATTACGCTATCTCTAAGTATTTAGCAGTGGGTGTATAAATTTATAAGAATGATCTCAAGTCATGTGAGAGTACCCGCTGAACTTAAACATATCAATAAGTGGAGGTAAAAAACTAACAAGGAATCCCTAGTAACAGCGAGTGAAGCGGTAATACACAAATTTTAAATCTACTTGTTTTGCTAGGTTGAGTTGTAATTTGAAAAAACTTTTTTGGGCTAAATCCTTTGGAATAAGATATCATGGAGGGTGTATACCAACCGCTGGAATGTTAATTATGTACTTTCTAAGAGTCGAGCTGACCTGGTGCTAAATATAAGCGAGAGACCGATGACGAACAAGCATGATACTGTGAGAGAAAGAACTTTGAAAAGAGTTAAATAGTATGCGAAATTGTTGAAAGAGAAACGGTTGAAGTCAGTCACACTGGCGGAAATCAACTTGGGAAAACTCTAAATACACCTTATTTGAGAGATTAGCGTCGTTTTTGGACTTCATAAAATATCGGGAAAGGTAGTTCCTTCGGGAGTGTTAAGCTCTTGGTAGATGTAATATCTGGGATCGAGGATTGCAATGGATATCCTTTGGGCTAGCTGTCTGATCTCCAACACAATGTTGGATTATGGACAACACGCTGACTGTGATCCGATTTTCGGTTAAAATATTAGAGCGAGTATGAATTCGTTAAGGACGTTGACGTAATTGCTTTAGACGACCCATGTTGAAACACAGACCAAGGAGTCTAACATGCATGCGAGGGTTAAAGTATTAAACCCAAACGCGAAATGAATGTGAGTGCAGGTGGGATCCTTTATTGGAGCACCATCGCCGATCTTAAAATTTATCGATATAATTGAGTTAGAGTAAACCTGTTGGGACCCAAAAGATGGTGAACTATGTCTGAATAGAGCAAAGCCAGAGGAAACTCTGGTTGAGTCTCGTAGAGGTTCTAATATGCAAAGTTGATCGTCAAATTTAGGTATATGGGCAAAAGACCAATCGAACTATCTAGTAGCTGGCTCTTGCCGAAGTTCTTCTCCGGATAGCAGGAACTCATTAACAGTTTTATGAGGTAAAGCGAATGATTAGAGGCCTTAGGGTGAAATAGCCTTAACCTATTTAAACTTTAAATAAATAAGATGTTAATAAGTTAATTGGACCTGTGAGAGTTTCTAGTTGATCATTTTTGGTAAGCAGAACTGGTGATATGGGATGAACCGAACGTAAGGTTAAGGTGCCCAAATTCAGATATCACAAAATGTGCTAGTTCATTTAGATAGCAGGATGGTAGCTATGGAGTGTGTAACAACTCAACTGCCAAATGAATTAGCCCTGAAAATGGATAATGCTCAAGCGTAATATCTATAACTTACCGCCGGGGTTAAGTGAAGCACTAATGAGTAGGCAGGTATAAGGTCATGAATGTAACCTTTATGGAACAATTTTTTGTGCAGATCTTTATTGTAGTAGCAAATATTCAAACAAGAACTTTGAAAACTAAGGTAGAGAAAGGTTCCAAAACTAAAGTGGAGAGGAATTTTATTTTAAGGGAGATTATTTTTAGTCACACCTATCGAAAGAAAAGCAAGTAATATGGATAATGGTGCGAAGCTACCAATCGTTAGACTATGGCTGAACGTTTTTAAGTTAGAATCAATGTTAGAATGTAATAATTATTACCCGCACCTTATTTAGCCAAATAAAATAGAATCACTGGATTCCTAAATTATATTCTTGAATTGTAATTTCAAATATTTGTGTGGATAAATTTTTTGCAGATAAATTAAGAACTGGGTATTGTAAACAGTAGATTAGTTTTAATGCTATAATCTGATGAGATTAAGCTTTAGTTTTTTAATTTTGTTT